AAGAGCAGAGTATGTGATTACAGGGAGCACGTTATCACTAGGCTTGAACACGAATCCGTTTTTAGCCATTTCATAGAATCATAGAATCAAAGAGTTGGAAGAGACCTCATGGGCCATCCAGTCCAACCCCCTGCCAAGAAGCAGGAATATTGCATTCAAATCACCCCTGACAGATGGCCATCCAGCCTCTGTTTAAAAGCTTCCAAAGAAGGAGCCTCCACCACACTCCGGGGCAGAGAGTTCCTTCAGTTTCTTCAGCTACTTCAGAAGGCCGTAATGGCAAGGGCACAGCCATCATGGTTTCCTGTCCATAATGGGACCACATGAGACTGCCTGGAGGTTAGGGACGTGTGGAACAAATGGGTGGGGTGGGGTGCGCACGTGTGTGTTTGGAGGCTTGGAGAGTTTTTGCTTTTTTCTCTCCTTCCCTTCCTCTCCTTCAGAAAATACGCCTAAAGATAATAATTAAATAATGATAATTATTTAATAATAAGACCTGGTTATAGCTCACGAATGGAACACTGAAGAAGGAAACAGAAGGCCTGATTCTTGCAGCCCAGGATCAAGCCATCAGAATTAAAGGAATTTAAACCCAGGATTGAAAAATCAGCTGATGACCCAAAATGCAGACGGTTCCAAGTAGCTGATGAAATCATGGATCATATCCTCAGCTGTTGCAAGAAAATCGCACAGACGGACTACAAACAAAGGCACAACTCTGTGGCCCAGATCACTCTCTGGAACCTATGTCACAAGTACCACCTACCAGCAGTAAAGAATTGGTGGGAACCTAAACCTGCAAAGGTAGCGGAAAATGAACACGCAAAAATATCGTGAGACTTTCAAGCCTCTATCAGGGCCTCAAAATCAAACTGCAAAGGCTCTGGCATAAACCAGTAGAGGTGGTCCCAGTGGTCCTCGGCACACTGGGTGCCATGCCAAAAGATCTCAGCCGGCATTTGTAAACAATAAACATTAACAAAATCACGATCTGTCAACTGCAAAAGGCCACCTTACTTGGATCTGTACTCTTCATTCAAAAATACATCACACAGTTCTATATGCTTGGGAAGTGTTCGACTTGTGATTTTGTGATACGAAATCCAGCATAGAGATCTCGTTTGCTGTGACATACTGTGCTTTTGTGTCAATAATAATAATAAAAATAATAATAATAACAACAACAACTACCACAACCTAGTTACCTCTCCTCTAGAGTAGAAAGTAAAAACAGCTTCAAGGAAGCATTAAACTTGAAGAGGAAAGGAGATCGAAGTGTGCCACTCCAGGCAAGGTTTGCAGTAGAGAAAAGAGAGAGCTTTCTAAAAGGAAGCCCAGGGAGAATAGCTCCAGGACATTGCTCTTCTTTCCCTGAGCCTTCTTAAAATACCTTGGAAAGCTGTGTGGTGTGCTGCAGGGAGAGAGAGATACATGCCTGCCTGCAGCGCCTCTCCTCTAGAGTAGAAACCGCTCACAACCTCTGAGGATGCCTGCCATAGATGTAGGCAAAACATCAGGAGAGAATGCTTCTAGAAAATGGCCATATAGCCTGAAAAACCTACAAACCAGAAGCAGCTTTAACAAAGCATTAAACCCGGTATCGTCTATAGACAGAACAGTAGAAATAGTGGTATGCTCTGATGCTTTTAATCAAGGTCTTAATAAAGGATATAAGGACAAACGATGCCTAAAATGACAGGAAGGTGAGCCTGAAAAGTCCATCCTCCTCCATAATGAGCCAGATAGGGTGCTTTCTTAACTCTGTCGCTGAAATCCAGTCTCCCTTGAAGGGGAAAAGGAAAGGGTCCCAGGAATGGAAAGGGGACCCTTGTAAGTTCCCCATTGCCATCAATGGGCTGGATTTGGCCACATTTATCGGTTACAGACCAAAAATGGCTTATCTGGCTATCCGCCCGTTTTCTGGAGGCGTGCAAAAATGGAAATGGGAGTCTACTGGTATCCAGCAAGCAGAAACAGATCGAAGTTCAGCCGAAATGCACAAGCCTAGTTATCACCTGTCCTATCACTTTGGTGCCTGCCAGTCTGTTTCCAGGTACAATTTGAAACCCTGTTTCTGATCCAAATATTCTAAGCTGCTTGGGTTGAAGCTATTTCTATGTTTTCTATGTCTGAAGGCCTTCCGAGAAGGTCTTTATCTCTGCCCCACTTTTTGAAGATATTCCCAGGCTCCAGAAGTCCTTCCTAAGGCAGTCTACACTCCCTACTTTTCGTCCTCCTCCAGCAACAGTTGAAATCAATTCTTTCTGAGACCAATATGTTTTTAACCTGCTCTTCTTATTTAAATTATATTTTTTATTTGAAATTTTAGTTTGTCAGCCTTCCTGAATGTTTTTGGGGGAGGAGGCAGGTGACATATAAACAAAGCCAGTTAATCAACGGGGATTCTTGGGAAATGGCACTGCTTTAATCATACCTCCACTGGCTTGGGTGTCACAGGGGGTCTTTGCAGAGATGGAAAGGTTACTTAAAAATAATTTTTGATTTGATTCATTATAAGAAATCTCCCAACGGCAAATCATGGCATTGTGATTTCGTTTTCTTCTTCTTCTATTGAATAAAAAGGTCAGTACACATTAGATTTTCAAAAGATCAGTTCCTGGTAGAGATGGTGCTTGTTACAACCGATTGGTTAATGCAGAACAGAAGAGCTGCCTACTAGGGGTGTGCGATCCATTAAAAATGGTTAAAAAGTCATTACAAAACTGGGGGGCGCTGGTATTTTGTTTCTAAAGTATAGGAAGTGAAATATTTGTTACTACAAAGAGAGTAACAAAATTTAGTTACTATTTTGTTACAGTAATTGAAAATAATTACTATAATTGGGGAAATTTCAGGGGCCCCTTTCATTTTTAAAGTTATGGAGTGAAAATTGCTACAATGGTAAAACACAGTTATCCTTATTAGCCCACCAAATTTCAGAATGTTTCACTTATCCATGGATTTTTGGCAAGTTTTTATAAACATTTAAAAAAAAACTACAAGAGCGAGTTAAACCGCTGAGCTGCTGAACTTGTTGACCGAAAGGTCGCAGGTTCTAATCCAGGGAGTGGTGTGAGCTCCTGCTGTCAGCCCCAGCTTCTGCCAACCTAGCAGTTTGAAAACATGCAAATGTGAGTAGATCAATAGGTACCGCTCCAGCGGGAAGGTAACAGTGCTCCATACAGTCATGCTGGCCACATGACCTTGGAGGTGACTACAGACAACGCCGGCTCTTCAGCTTAGAAATGGAGATGAGCACCACACCCCAGAGTCAGACACGACTGGACTTACTGTCAGGGGAAAACCTTTACCTTTTACAAGATAACCGGGGCATCAGTCCCCAGAAGTTTCAGAAAGATTCTCATATCTACAGATTTTTGGGAATTTTGAAAAGTTTAGACAAAAACCATTTATCCCCAAAATGCAACAACAGCAATCCTCTTGAATGTCTGTCTTTACAACACACAACCACATAACTTCAACTTAGCACAGATTTATACTATTATTTACTTACTTTAGTCCTCTTTGCAGATTCAATAATGTTATTTATTACTAGCCGTCCCCTGCCACGCGGTGCTGTGGCCCAGTCTGTGTATATGTGTTTTGTATGTGTATATATATATGTGTGCGTATATATGTATATATATGTGGTTTTGTGCATGCATTGTATTCTTATTTTTTGGCTTTTTAAGTCTCTTCTGCTGTGTTTTTCAGTGTTTTTATGAGTGATGGCCACTTGTTGGCCTGATAGGTGTATTGTGTCCAAATTTGATGTCAATTCGTCCAGTGGTTTTTGAGTTATGTTAATCCCCCCAAACGAACATTACATTTTTATTTATTAGACTGACTCTAAATGGCTGGGGGTTGAAAACCTCATTGGGATTTCTGATGCTGAGCACTGCATTCTGGAAAATATAGTTTAGGGTGGGGCCTTTTGCATTCCCTGCTACAGAGAGCTTGGCCTTCCCAAACTATATTTCTAAGAATGCTGTGTTCTCAATCTCCTGCCCAAGTTTGCTAGTCTCGTCCCCAGTGCCTTCCTTATGGCGACTGGACCAAAGAAAATCAGGATGGGTTTTTAAAACACTTTTATGCTTGGGTTGTTGTAGGGTTTTTTTTAATGTTTTCTTGGCTTTACCAAAGTTGCTTAATGTTTATACTGAAAATTGAGTGGACCTTGGGAGACATCTGAATGTTACAGAATCTAAACAAAAATTAGATTAACCCCTAATAACCCCCTTTTCCAGTCCCAATTCCCTATTCTATCCCCTCTCCCACTCTTCCCTAACCCATCCCCTATTTACCTGTCCTTAACCTGGAGACTTTACATTTTATTTCTATTATTATTATTACTACATCAGTAATGACACTCCAAAATATAGGTTCTTGTGGGTTTTTTCGGGCTATAGAGCCATGTTCTAGAGGCATTTCTCCTGACGTTTCGCCTGCATCTATGGCAAGCAACCTCAGAGGTAGTGAGGTCTGTTGGAATTAGGACAATGGGTTTATATATCTGTGGAATGGCTGGGGTGGGGCAAGGAGCTCTTCCCTGCTGCAGTTAGGTGTGAATGTTTCAGCTGATCACCTTCATTAGCATTTGAAGGCCTGCCTGAGCCTGGGAAAATCTCTTGCTGGGAGGTGTTAATCTGTGCCTGGTTGTTTCCTCTCTGTTGTTTTGCTGTTGTAATTTTAGAGTTTTTTAATACTGGTAGCCAGATTTTGTTCATTTTTATGGTCTCTTCCTTTCTGTTGAAATTGTCCACATGCTTGTGGATTTCAATGGCTTCTCTATTTATTTATTTGCCATATTTATATCCTGCCCTTCTTAACCGCAAACAGGACTCAGAGTGGTGCACAAAGGCACAATTCGATGTCATACCATGACACCTCGGTGTCAAAAACCCATGTAATTCAACCATTCACACTGTGGATTCCTCTTCCTATTGGCAACTAGTGTGTGTGTATTTATGGGGGGGAAACCCAGTTCTGGAGGCACTTACTGTTAGTCTTGAGCCTGGCGGGGTCACTGTTCCGGCTGCCAGCCTGGTTTATTGCCTTGACAAGGAAGATGTATCGCGTGCCACTCTGCAGCCCATGCACCGTGTAGTGATTCTGCTTAATGTTGGGGACAATCATCCAACTGTCCATGGAATTGTATAAACCTGCAGAAAGAAGGAAGGAGAAAAGCACAGAGGACATGTGAAATTCATGGTTGTCCATCAGAGTGAACGGCCCATTTATTTACAGTATTTATCATTTATCCATATAAATAAAAATGTAATGTTCGTTTGTGGGATTAACAGAACTCAAAAACCACTGGATGAATTGACAACAAATTTGGACACAAGACACCTAACGACCCAATGTATGCCCTTCACTCAAAATTATTTTGTCATTTGGGAGTTGTAGTTGCTGGGATTTATAGTTCACCTACAATCAAAGGGCATTCTGAACCCCACCAACGATAGAATTGGGCCAAACTTGGCACGCAGTTCTCCCATGACCAACAGAAAATACTGGAAGGGTTTGGAGGGCAGTGTCCTTTGGTTTTGGAGTTGTAGTTCACCTACATCCAGAGATCACTGTGGACTCAAACAATGATGGATCTGGTCCAAACTCTACACGAATACTCAATATGCCCAAATGTGAACACTGGTAGAAAAATAGAATCTTGACATTTGGGAGTTGTAGTTGCTGGGATTTATAGTTCACCTACAATCATAGAGCATTCTGAACCCCACCAATGATAGAACTGGGCCAAACCTCCCACACAGAACCCCCATGTGGGCCACAGCAACGCGTTGAGGGGACGGCTAGTCTATATAAATAAAAATGTAATATTCGTTTGTGGGATTAGCATAACTCAAAAACCACTGGACGAATTGACACCAAATTTGGACACAAGACACCTCTTGGGCCAATGAGTGACCATCACTCATAAAAAACGGAAAAACATAGCAGAAGGGACTTAAAAAGCAAAGACCCCCCCCCCCCCCAAATTACAACGCATGTGCAAAACCTCATATATATATTTTAATTTGCTTTGATATTGTTTTGTTGTATTGTGTTTTGAGGCTTCGGCCAGTGTAAGCCACATCGAATCCTTTGGGAGATGCTAGCGGGGTATAAATAAAGTAATAATAATAATAATAATAATAATAATAATAATAATAATATATACACAAACACACACACATATACACATATATGCATATACACACATAAAACATACACAGAAAGGGGGAAGGAAGGAAGGAAGGAAGGAAGGAAGGAAGGAAGGAAGGAAGGAAGGAAGGAAGGAGGAAGGAAGGAGAGAAGGAGGGAAAGAAGGAGGGAAGGAGAGAAGGAAGGAAAGAAAGAAGGGTAGAGATGGAAGGAAGGAGAGATGAGGGGAGAGAAAGAGGGAAAGAAGGAGTGAAGGAGAGAAAGAAAGAAAGAAAGAAGAGTAGAGAAGGAAGGAAGGAGAGAAGGTAGGAGAGGAGGCAAACCTTTACTTTATCTATATATCTTGTAAGCCGATCTGAGTCCCCTTAGGAGTGAGAAAGTGGCATATAAATGTCGTAAATAAATAAATAAAGGCCAGGAGCTCACCCTGGCCTGGGCTTTGAACTGTCAACGTTTAGGTTGGCAAGATTTACTACAGCTGGTGGCTAACCTGCTGAGCTAAAGCCCAACACAAAAATAGCAGACTACAGGTTACTATAGCTTCCCCAAACCCCGGCTATAGTGCATTATAATTTCCATCCGCCTTACACATCAGAGCTAATGTCTTCCCTGGCTGGAGATCATTGGAGGTGTCATCCAACACAGCTGGATAGCCTTAATATGGAGGAGGATAATGGGCTGCAGGTCACATCAATACATGCTTTTATCACCTTTGCAAGGACTTGCAAGAACACTTTTGGAAAGCCACTGAAAACACGTCACAGGGAAGTGAGGCTTGTTTGGCTGAGTGCTAACTGGCTGCATCTGGAATATCCAGTTAAGGACCCTGGGGACTATTTTTTTTTTGCTTGATCTAAACGGATGTTCTTTATACATGATGAACCTGCTGTATCAAATCAGCAGGGAGATAACAAAGCCTCGAATGCGATAAGATGTGCAAATGGTCCTAATCGCAGGAAGTGGATTATCTGGGCTCTGGTTACAGGAGTGTGTGCATCGAAAAGAGCTTTGGCAGCTGTAGCAACGGGAGATAACAGGCTTTGGCAACCGCTGAGGTCAGCAAGGGCAAGATTACATTTATCTCCTCTCCTCTCTAACCCCCTTCCGCCCCAAGATTCAGGCAATGACTAGACACAGTTTAAGAAACCTGTTATTGTTGAGTGTCACCCGAGCACGTACAAAATCCAGCAAGATCTTTAAACTGTGCCCAAAGTCCTTTTTCTTCCCGCCAAGTCTTCCTATATTATAATAATTATTTCAGAGCAATGTACCAAATGAGTGAAAGGCAGAAGCTTGTTCTTTTAAGGAAACGGCATTCAGGGTGTCTAGAGATGGGAGCAGGAGGGAGGAATAAAAAGAATGGAGGACACAATTTCTCTGGTTGTGGGTGAACTACAACTCCCAGAAAGGAAGGTCAGTTCCCGCCAAATTCCTCCAGTAATCAATTTTTGGCTTATCAGGTATGTATACCAAGTTTGGTCCAGATCCATCGGTGTTTGGGTTCGCAGTGCTCTCTGGATGTAGGTGAATTCTCCCCAAACCTCTATAGTATGTTCAGTTGCCGATCAATTCCTCACTGATTACAGGTGAACTATAAATCCCAGTGCCTACAACTCCACAATGTCCAGGCCAATTTCCCTCAGAACCCGCCAGTATTCAGATTTGGGTATATAGGGTGTGCATCCAAGTTTGGTCCAGATCCATCACTGTTTGGGTTCATAGTGTGCTTTGGATGTAGGTGAACTATAACTCCTATAAATCCTCCCAAAGACCTCCAGTATTTTTTGCTGGTCATGGCAGCTCTGTGTGCCAAGTTTGGTTCAATTCCATCTTTGGTGGAATTCAGAGGGCCCACTGATTACAGGTGAACTATAAATCCCAGTGCCTACAACTCCACAATGTCTAGGCCAATTCCCCTCAAAACCCACCAGCATTCAAATTTGGGCATATTGGATACTCATGCCAAGTTTGGTCCAGATCCATCATTGTTTGGGTTCATAGTGCGCTCTGGATGTAGATGAACTACAACTCCTATAAATCCCTCCAAAGACCTCCAGTATTTTTTGTTGGTCCTGGAGATTTTGTGTGCTAAGTTAGTTCCAATTCCATTGTTGGTGTAGTTCAGAGTGCTCTTAGATTGGAGGTGAACTATACATCCCAGGAACTACAACTCCTATAAATCCCTCAAAAGACCTCCAGTATTTTTTTGTTGGTTATGGTGGTCTGTGTGCCAAGTTAATTCCAGGTCCATCACTGGTGCTCTTAGATTGCAGGTGAACTATACATCCCAGTACTTACAACTCCTATAAATCATGGTGAATTCTCCCCAAATCTCTATAATATGTTCATTTGCTGATCAATACCTCTGTTTGCTGTGTGACACAAAAAAGAATAGGAAAGGATTATGGGAGTGGGTGGGATCATGCAAATTAAACACCAATGGAGAGAGTCAGAAACACTGGGATGTCTGTGGTGGAGGAAACACATAAAATCTAGGATGAAATATCAGAATATCAAGGTGGGTAATCCATAATATCTGCTTTGAACAGGGTTATCTGAATCCACACTGCCATATAATCCAGGTCAAAGCAAAAGACAATGGGGAGAGTCAGAAACACTGGAATGTCTGTGGTGGAGGAAACACATAAAATCTAGGATGAAATTGTCCCAGTATGAAAGCCTTCACTTGGGTGGTGGGCAGTATGGTGTTGGTGGAGGACATTGACAGGGCTCTTGGACATGTTCATGACACTCATTATAACATGCAATGTCATTGGAGGGAGGGCCATTGGTGTCTCCTGAATGGTGGGAGCTCTAGCTGTTTGTGGAGTAGACACCCAAACCACACACACACATACATATTTTCTCTTTTATTATATAGATAATGTATATAGATAAACAACCATTGTCTTGGGAAGTCAATTTTTCTGTCCCCTTTATCATGTTAACTTTTTACCATCTTAACTCTTATTATTCTTTGACAGGTTGTCTTACAGACCAGCTATAACAGAAATAATAAGCCTCTCAGGAGAGTTCTCTTTCCAATATTGAGTTAAAATGCTTACAAACAGCTCCTACACTTTGCAATTGCATAATGTTATTTCGTAATATTGCTAAGGGCCGGTTCATAATCAAATTGCCCTGTTGAGACTCCAAGTTAAGGGCAAAAGCTGTCTTCCAGGCACAAGCTAATCCGTATTTACTGCCACATCACTGAACGTTCGGCTGCGCAGTCAACAGCAGAATACACCCATGTTTCTGTAGCCCGTGTCTGCATAAATCTTTGTAATTCGCTTTCACTTTGCCGGCATTGCTTGCAAATAGGTGCTGATACATATCTATATAAATAAAAATGTAATGTTCGTTTGTGGGATTAACACAACTCAAAAACCACTGGGAGAATTGACACCAAATTTGGACACAATACACCTAACAACCCAATGTATGTCCTTCACTCATAAAAACACTGAAAAACACAAGAGAAAGGACTTAAAAGCCCCCAAAACCTAAATAACGAAAAGCTAAATGACAATACAGAAAAAAAGGGAAGAAAGAGGGAGGGAAGGGGAGAAAAGAAAGAAGGAAAGAAAGAAAAGAAAAGAAAGAGGGAGGGAAAAAAAGAAAGAAAGAAAGAAAGAAAGAAAGAAAGAAAGGGAGAAGGAAGCAAAGAGAGAAGGAAGGAAGGAAGGAAGAGGTAGAGAAGGAAGAAAGGAGAGAAAGAGGGAGGGAAAGAAAAAGGAGTAAGGAAGGAAAGTCAGAGAAGGAAGGAAGGAGAGAAGGAAAGAAAAAAGGGAAAGAAGGAAGGAAAGAGGGACTGAAGGAAGGGGGGAAGATGTAGAGAAAGAGGGAGGGAAGGGAAGAAGGAAAGAGAGAAGGAAGAAAAAAGAGAGCTGAAGAGAAAGAAAAAGGGGGAAGGAAGGAAAGAGATAGAGAAGGAAGAAGAGAAGGAAAGATGGAAAGGAAGGAAGGAAAGAGGGAGTGAAGGAAGGAGGGAAAGAAGGAGAGAAAGAGGGAAAGTTGGCCACAGCAAAGCGTGGCAGGTACAGCTAGTATATCATATATTACCGTTTATAAATCGACCTCATGTAACAATATTGCCTGTAGAACTTGGGAAATAGGTTAGTGTATAGTGACTTACTAATGAAGTTGGCCTGCCCGGTGAAGATGGTGTACTGGAGCTCATAGGAGCTGACACAGAACTCATCGTCCGAGATCCAGTGGACCGTGATGGTGTCGTGGGAGGCAGTACAAAGTTCTTCGCGGACAGATGGCGGGTTGGGTGCTGCAAGGAAAATAGAACACAACAGATCAGACACAGTTGCGGGTCTCGTATCCTTTGATACATCCCTTTTTAAAAAGAACAAGGGTCTTGTAGCCCCACAGATCAGAAACACATAAAGATATGTGCATTAGGTCAGTGTGCCCACAGGTTCGCAAACAAATGTACAATGTTCTTGTCAGGACTGTATTCAATTTTTTTTTCTTTTGTCAATCTGCGTAAGTATGCTATGTCAGCTTCTGGTGGATTGGCACCTGTGACAAAGCCCTCGTTGGTTAGCAACTGCATCTCAGAGACCTCATTTGCAACCGGTTTGGCAACACTTTTTATAATGGCCTAAATTAAAATGCTAATCCCAATTAGGACCCTTCTACACTGCCATATAATTCAAGTCATCAAAGCAGATACCGTATATACTCGAGTATAAGCTGAAGTTTTCAGGCCTTTTTTAAGGCTGCAACCCCCCCCCCCCCCGGTTATACTCAAATCAATTTATTATTGTACTCTATTGTTGTTATTATTATTATTACATGTATTATTTTGCCCTAGAATCATAGAATCAAAGAGTTGGAAGAGACCTCATGGGCCATCCAGTCCAACCCCCTGCCAAGAAGCAGGAATATTGCATTCAAATCACTCCTGACAGATGGCCATCCAGCCTCTGTTTAAAAGCTTCCAGAGAAGGAGCCTCCACCACACTCCGGGGCAGAGAGTTCCACTGCTGAACGGCTCTCACAATTATTTATTTATTTATTTATTTATTTATTACATTTACATTATTTTACTCTATTATTATTTTATTACATTTAATATTTTACTCTATTTATTATTATTATTATTACATTTATTATTTTACTCTGTTTTTATTATTACACTTATTATTTTACTCTATTTGTTATTATTATTACACTTATTATTTTACTCTTTATTATTGTTATTACATGTATTATTTTATTCTATTATTGATATTATTGCATTTATTATTTTACTCTATTATTATTGGAAGGATACACAAGCACATGTACATTGAAGGAGGTTAGAATAATGGTTTCATCAGAGTTGGACAGTCTTATCTTAAATTACAGTGTTAATTTAACATTTAACCTATTGATGCTTCAATTAATGTAATTTTATTTGTATCTATTTTTATTTTGAAATTTACCAGTAGCTGTATTGTCAAAGGTTTTCATGGCTGGAATCACTGGGTTGTTGTAGGGTTTTTTTCCCCCGGGCTATATGGCCATGGTTTAGAGGCATTCTCTCCTGACGTTTCGCCTGCATCTATGGCAAGCATCCTCAGAGGTAGTGAGGTCTGTTGGAACTAGTAGTTTCTGCATTTCCCACCCTTGGCTTATACTCAAGTAAATACAGTTTCCCAGTTTTTTGTGGTAAAATTAGGTGTCTCGGCTTATATTAAATTAGTTTTTGAATACAACTTTCCTGCATCTTGGCAGGGGTTAGACCGTATGGTCCACGAGATCTCTTCCTACTCAAGGATTCTAAGATTCTATGATTCAAGTCAGCTTATACTTGAGTATATATAGGGAAATCCACATTATCTGAGTCTGCACTGCCATATAATCCAGTTCAAAGCAGATAATGTGGATTTTATATGGCAGTGTAGGAGGGGACTTAGAGGAGCCAAACTGAACCAACTGTTGAGTGGTACATCAACACCGAATGTATAAAATCGCCCCACTTTAAATGGAATTAGAAGTTGGATGTCAACCAATTTTTCCCTCCAGAAAAATAAGTCAATGAATGAACATTTAACTAAACACTCATTTGGGTAGAACTTAACATAAATAATGAAAGAGCGGAGAAAAGAATACAAAGGAAGAATGGGGCATAAATGTGAGACCCATTGATGTGCACACCTGCCAAATGCATTGTAGAAGTGGGATGGAATAGGACTCATTTCTCAGCAGAGGGGGAAAAGTGAATCTTAATTGAAAAGTACAGCTGTACCTAAGGCTTTTTGAGCCTAGCCAGCGAGTTTTATATTCCCATCTGAGGTTCTTCCCTCAGGCAATGCACATCTGTGCAAAATGTATGTATTTATTTATTTTATTTATAACATTTCTCAACCCCCGAGGGGGGACTCAGAGTGGCTAACACTGGCAACAATTCGATACCACAATATCACAACATAACAACAATATGAAACCATAAATACACAATAGATTAAAAAACAATAACATCTATATAAATAAAAAAGTAATGTTCGTTTGTGGGATTAACAGAACTCAAAAACCACTGGACGGATTGCCACCAAATTTGGCCACAAGACACCTACTAACCCAAGGAGTGAACATCACTAAAAAAATGATTTTATCATTTGGGAATTGTAGTTACTGGGATTTATAGTTCACCTAAAATCAAAGAGCATTCTGAACTCTACCAAAAATGGCAGTGAACCAAACATGGCATACAGGACACCCATGACCAACAGAAAACACTAGAAGGGTTTGGGGGCATTGACCTTGAGTTTGGGAGTTGTAGTTCACCTACATCCAGAGAGTACTGTGGACTCAAACAAAGATGGATCTGGACTAAACTTAGTACTGATACTCAAAATGCCCAAATATGAACACAGATGGAGTTTGGGGAAAATAGACCTTGACATTTGGGAGTTGTAGTTACTTAGATTTATAGTTCACCTACAATCAAAGAGCATTGTGAACCCCGCCAACAACAGAATTGGGGCAAATTTCCCACACAGAACCCTGATGACCAACAGAAAATACTTAAGGCCATCCAGTCCAACTCCCTTTACAGGGCAAGAAAACGTAATCAAAGCTCTCCTGACAAAGAGCCATCCAGCCATGGATATAGATAGATATATATGATTCACACACAGAGAGATATAGTATCATAGATTTCAAAGGGACCCCTAAAGGAGGACAATGATATGCTGCATGTTCCACAGTAGGCAAACCAGACTATCTCCACATCAACATTGACAAAGAAACAAGAAATACTGTTTACCCACAAGCATAAAGAAATTACATATATTAGAAACCAACACATTCTCATTACTTTATTTCCCAGATCACCAGACTGGGCCACAGCAACACGTGACAGGGGATGGCTAGTTAGTTGTACAATCATATATCAGTTTCCATTATTATAACAATCATATAGCCCAGTTCAATGTCCAAAATGCCGTTATGCCTGCTAGCCAGTAACAATATAGCTGCATCCAAGTTTGATTCAGAGGCCCAGTCCAAAGCCTGTCCATTATCAATTCACATCCAACATTGCCATTGCTCTTAAGCCTGCTGCCCAAATGCCTGGTTCCACAACCACGATTTCAGTTCTTTCCTAAAGGAAAGGAGGAAGGACGCTGATCTAATCTCGCTGGGGAGCAAGTTCCACAAGCAGGGGGTCACCACCGAGAAGGCCTTGTCCCTCGTCCCCACCAGACACATTTGCGAGGCTGGTGGGACCAAGAGCAGGGCCTTCCTGGTGGATCTTAAACTGTTAGGCGGAACATAGAGGGAGATACATTCAAAATGAAAAAGGCTAGCAATATGCGATACCCACATATTTTTCTTAGCCAACAGGAGAAAACATAAGGATTAGCAAAAGCAGAACTGCACTATCCGGGTAGTTCCATCCAGCAAAAACAGCTCTGTATTCAATCTGCAATGCCTTCAAGTCAAGGCCAATGACACGACAACAAACACAAATTGCTTTTTCATTTCAGTCGTGCCATGCCCTCAATTTCTAGATCAGGGTTAGACCACCGAGTACCCTCTTGTTATTTTAAATTGTGGCTGCCATAATCCTCTTGGCAGGAACATCGGAAAGGGCCAAGGTTGCTCACCTTCTGTTCCAGATGACTAAAGTTAGATCGGCACATCTGGACTGACATAGGGAGCAGGGCTTACCCGGTTTTCTCCTTCCTTCTGTCTCAAAAGATGTGCTTGGCAAAAGAGTAAAAAGCAGCAGGAGGAGGAGAAAAGGGTGAGAGAGACCACTTACACCACAATCCTTGCAACCACTACAAGGAAATGAAGCTTGGAATTCTTTAAATTTCCTCGTCACTCAGAATTGTCAAAAAGGCACCTGCTGCAGCGTATAATTACACGCCACTTTAATCAGTTAATTGATAGACTCGTCTGTTTAAAGAACGAGGCATCTCATTTGCTTAAAGATCTGTAACCAGTTGATGAGCAAATTGACAGTTTTACCCAAAACTTTGCATTTGTGCCTCTGTTATGTAGCCTTTGCGGGGCTATTTGGGGACAAGAAGAGGTAAACGTAATGGCATCTGGTATCTCCTGTGATTTAAACCAAAGACCCAACCCATTGTGCAAAACTGATGAAACTAACACAAGCTGTGCAAGAGCACAACTGCTTCCCTACACTTCCCAATCATTTGTGGAAAGTGCGGTCCATTAGTGCCTTACTGATGTTTGAATGCAAATCCCATCAGACAAGGCCATGGTGTACCTTTGTGGATTTCCACATAACATTTGTGAGAGTGAATAGGTAGCACGGCAAACTCTGTTCTCGAAGGTTTTCATGGTCGGAATCACTGGGTTGTTGTAGGTTTTTCGGACTGTATGGCCATGTTCTAGAAGTATTCTCTCCTGACGTTTCGCCTGCAACCCCTGAGGATACCTGCCATAGATGCAGTCGAAACATACAGCCCAAAAACCTACAACAACCCATGGCAAAATCTTTTGCATATTTTCTCATAGATAGCAGTGGGGAGTTGGAGTAAATGATGGAACAGGATTTACAGGAGAGTTGGTATAGCTAGATCTTTGGGGGATTGATGAGAAGCTTCTCACCAGAGTAGAAACCATCTATTGGACAGATGGTAAGCTATTTAACCTCAGCAGACTGAAAGCCAAAACCAAGATGACAACATCTGTTATAGAATTCCAATATGCTGATGATAATGTAGTCTGTGCGCATTCAGAAGAAGATCTATAAGCTACTCTAAATATCTACAAGCCACTCAAAATATCTTTACAGAAGCATACGAGAAGATCAGCCTCTCACTGAACTCACTGAGTGCTCTTCCAGCAGTCACCAGCCAATCCCTCTGCAATGCCAGAAAGATAGCTTAATGGTGTAACATCAGAAAATGTTGACCATTTCCACTCCCCTGGCAGCCACAAAAGTCAACATTGACACTGAAATACAACACCCCCTGAGCTCTGCGAGTGCAGCATTTTTCCAAATGAAGCAGAGAGTGTTTGAGGAACAGGACATCCATAGGGATACCGAGGTGCTTGTTTATAAAGCTATTGTGCTGTGGCACAATAAGTGAAACCCTTATGCTGTTGAACTGTTGAAGGCTGTCAGTTTGAATCCATGGGACAGGGTGGGCTCCCATTGTTAGCCCTAGCTCCTGCCAACCTAGCAGTTAGAAAACATGCAAATATGAGTAGATAACTAGGTACCGCTTTGGCGGAAAAGGCATAAGACGCTCCAAGCAGTCATGCCAGTCACATGACCAGGAGGTGACAATGCAGGCTCCTTGGCTTGGAAATTGAGAACAGCACCTTCCTCAGAGACAGAGAAGAGCCGGAAATGAAAGGAGAAGCCTTTGCCTATGTTTGTGTTTGTATGTCTTATTGAATTGTAACAAGGCACTGAATGTTTGTTCGTATCTGGTTACACTGTAATCCACTCTGAGTCACCACAGGGAGATGGACGGAATATAAATAGTGTTGTTGTTGTTGTTATAGGTAGCAAAAGCTGGGCAAAGCCAGTACTAAAGTAAAGCAAAACAGTACCAATGATATCCACATATTAAATGGCCAACCTATCTCTCCTCTGCCCAAGTAGCAACTGACCAATATCTTTTGTGTGTTTTGCAGGATGCTGCAAGGTATTTTAGCTCAGCCATTACCAATCTGGCAGTGTCCAGATGGAGTCCAATCTCCATGCAGCCTGGGGATCATCAGAATACTAATTCCAAACATCCCGAGTACGATGTCAAGATGAAAAAGGCTGTGTTTGTCTATTATTTCATTTCCAACCCCTCTTTTTGAGACCCAATCTTTTTGCATTGTTCCACATAGTAACATGGCTTAGGATTCACACTCATTCCGCCTGTCAGGAGACTTTTATCAGTGTGATTGGTGGCCACTGCTGGGAAGTGACAGATGGGAGGGAGGAACACCAATCCACAGAAGACAGGGAGATTCAACATTGCTAATGATGTAATAATGAAATCTGAAGCGAGCATTTAGACATAATTAGGTTAACAGCCAATTAAAACCAAGCTGCCTAATCACAACTTGTGCGGTGCAGAAGGTGGGATAGCTTGAAATAGCTTTTTAAAATTGAAAACTTGCAAAACAAGTCACATTACGCATCTCAAGATCAATTTTCATATACCAATGAGAAGAAGTTGGATTTGCTCTGTCTCTTGGGGCAATGTCTTCACTGTACTGTCGAAGGCTTTCATGGCCGGAATCACTGGTTTGTTGTGTGTTTTCCAGGCTGCATGGCCATGTACCAGAAGCATTCTCTCCTGATGTTTCGCCTGCATCTATGGCAGGCATCCTCAGAGGTTGTGAGGTCTGTTGGAAACTAGGATTTCATCGAAGGCTTTCATGGCTGGAATCACTGGGTTGTTGTGTGTTTTCCAGGCTGCATGGCCATGTACCAGAAGCATTCTCTCCTGACGTTTCACCTGCATCTATGGCAGGCATCCTCTGAGGTTGTGAGGTCTGTTGGAAACTAGGATGTCAAAGTATTGTCGAAGGCTTTCATGGCCGGAATCACTGGGTTGTCGTGTGTTTTCCAGGCTGCATGGCCATGTACCAGAAGTATTCTCTCCTGACGTTTCGCTTGCATCTATGGCAGGCATCCTCAGAGGTTGTGAGGTCTGTTGGAAACTAGGATGTCAATGTATTGTCGAAGGCTTTCATGGCCGGAATCACTGGGTTATAGTGTGTTTTCCAGGCTGTATGGCCATGTTCCAGAAGCATTCTCTCCTGACATTTCACCTGCATCTATGGCAGGCAGCCTCAAAGGCCCCACAGACCTCACAACCTCTGAGGATGTTTGCCATAGATGCAGGCGAAACGTCAGGAGAGAATGCCTCTAGAACATGGCCATGAAAAACCTACAATCTAGGATTTCAATGGTTTCTCTGTGTAGCCTGACATGGCCACTCCAACAACTACCATGTCAGACTATTATTTATTTATTTGCCATATTTACCGCCCCTCTCAGCCCAAAGGCGACAAGATAGTTTACAGTCGGCAGTCAATGCCCCCAAACAACATAAAATACAATTAAAAACATTACATATAATATAAACCATATAAAAGCAATAAAGAAATAAAAGCTATAAAACAAAAGTCCTCAATGTCTCATCACTAAAATGATTTTTCCATCGCATCATCCAATCGTTCCGTGGATCTCAATTAGTCTGTTACACTGCGGCTGCAAATGCCTGCTCAAACAGCCAGGTTTGCACTCTCTTTCAAAATGTTAGGAGGGAGGGGCCAATCTAATATCCCTAGGGAGAGCTTTCCATAGCCGAGGGGCCACCGCTGAGAAGGCCCTGTCTCTCGTTCCCGCCAATTGCGTCTGCGAAGGGGGTGGGACCGAGAGCAGGGCCTCTCCAGATGATCTTAAGGGCCTAGATCAGTGGTCCTCAAACTAAGGCCTCCAAGGTCATTTACCCGGCCCTCGCTCAGGGTCAAACTAAGTCTGAAACGACTTGAAAGCACACAACAACAATAGCCCAATCCTATGTTTAGTGGCCTTCTTTGCTCTGAGTTGATGGGCAGCACTTCTGATTTCAAAGAACCTCAGGTGTACTATAGAGCCCATTACTTATTCCCACCCTCACATTCACAAGGGCTTGTCACAATGAGGGAAAGCAAAGGAATGGAAGAGGGTTTGGTGTCGGAGGACCGGGCAGGGAGAGGCAGGAATGCAAAATTGGCACAAACCTGTGAGATAATCCAGCCCCTCCAGCAGTTTCTTCTCTCTGGAAAAATCTAAAGCAAAGTTTTCAAAGGCATCGTTAAAATTGATATCGGGTATCAAAACTTGAGAGGATGCAGTTGCCATGGCGACCCTGAAAGACAGAAGAGAGTATCAATATACATTAGGCAGTGTTTGCAACTCCCAGTCGGCGCTTTGATTTTTGATTAAAGAGCTGCAAACAGCCTTGAAGTGATGCAACCTCCAGCAGGAAGTGGGTTGGGAGGAACCGGGGGAGGAGAGACTCGCACGATTAATATTCAGGACCTCAATTGCGTATGTGAGAGGCTGGAGGATGGCTGAGGGTGAACAGATTCATAGAGCCACCCTGGTTTTGTGTTGATGCTCAGCATCCCATCCACCTCCAAAATGTGCAGTGTCGTATGTCAGCCTGTTCAGCCTGTGATTGTGTCTGATATTTATGTTGATATTCCTGATAGGAATGGCGATGATGTCCATGTTGATGGGGGTGATGTTCATGTTGATGTTCCTGAAGGGAATGGGAATGCTGATTTGGCTTCTGGGCCAGAGTCTGGGGATGAAACGGTTTGGGCCCCACCTATCTTTGCGATCTCATCTCCATCTATGAAACTCTAAGATCCTCCAGGGAGTCCCTCCTCTCGCTCCCACCTCCGTCACAAGCATGGTTGGTGGGGACGAGAGAGAGGGTCTTCTTGGTGGTGGCCCCCCGCCTCTGGAATGCCCTTCCAAGAGAAATAAGACAGGCCCCATCCCTCCCCCTCTTTTCGTAAGAGTTTGAAGACTTGGTGATTTCAACAAATCTTTGAGAGTGACCAGTGCTAGCTTAGCCCAGACACTGTCCGGACACGACCTAGCCCCCTATATATTATCCTGGTCATTCTCCTAAGAACCCCCTGGAAATAGCCCATCCCCACTTTTGTCGTTTACCTACTACAGTACTGTACCCAAATGCCAGTCCCATCTTATTTCAATTTGTATCAGTCATGACCCAGCCTTTTAATTGCTCTAATCCATTCCTTTTCCATGCCCTAAGAAATAGACATGAAGAGCAGGAAGAATTTTTCCCTTTAATATTATGTGTTGTTGGGTAATTCCATGCTTATGTTGCTGCTACTGTTATTTTTTTTTTCATGTTGTGACACTATATGTTTTGATGTTGTGCTTGGAAACCACCCTGAGTCCCCCCAGGGAGATAGGGCGGTATATAAATAAAGCTTTATATTATTATTATTATTATTATTATTATTATTATTATTATTATTATTGGCTGCAAGGGCCTGAATGGAGTTTTTAAAAGAGGCCTGAGCCGCTGCAAGAGGATTCTCAAGGCCCCGGGCAGTTCCCTGGTCAGTTATCTGAGAATGAAGTTGATTCTGATGCAACAGGTGCAGAAGTTAATGAGGGGAGTGAGACCTTGAATAGGAAAAGAAGTTTCAGTAAACAGAAACAGTCCGTCCAGCAATTAAGATGCTCAGCTAGACTTCAACAGAAGTTCGATAGCAAACCGAAACGGAGAAAGAATCCGTTCCTAGTAGTTTTGGAGTCAGGGAAGGGTTTATAAATGACGTGTGAGGGACGATTGCTTTACCTGAAGCAACGTTGGATTAACGGCAGGTTTTTTCTCGTGTCAGGAGCAACGTGAGAACTGCAAGTTGCTTCTGGTGTGAGGGAATTGGCTGTCTGCAAGGATGTTGCCCAGGGGATACCTGGATGTTTTGATCTTTTACCATCCTCGTGGGAGGATTCTCCCATGTCCCCGCATGGGGAGCTGGAGCTGATAGAGGGAGCTCATACACGCTCTCCCCAAATTCGAACCTGCGACCTGTTGGTCTTCAGTCCTGCCGGCACAAGGGTTTAACCTACTGCACCACTGGCAGTTTCCCAGCACCAAGTTCTGCCTAGCTCATGGAATAGGCTTCTGTATTGTTTATGGATTCAAGTGCCTAGATTCATGGATTTCCTTGGACTCTTTGTTCCTGTTTTCCTTTATATCCTTCAGATTTTTTTGCTACTGTGGATTACTTTTGACTTTTTTTTTTTGTCGTGTCAGGAGCGACTTGAGAAACTTGAGTGAGACTTTAAATATGAAAAGAAGTTTCAGTAAACAGAAACAGTCCGTCCAGCAATTAAGACGCTCAGCTAGACTTCAACATAAGTTAGATAGCAAACCGAAACGGAGAAAGAATCCGTTCCTAGTAGTTTTGGAATCAGGGAAGGGTTTATAAATGACGTGTGAGGGACGATTGCTTTTCCTGAAGCAACGATGGATTAACGGCAGGTTTTTTCCCATGTCAGGAGCAACTTGAGAACTGCAAGTCACTTCTGGTGTGAGGGAATTGGCCGTCTGCAAGGATGTTGCCCAGGGGATGCCTGGATGTTTTGATGTTTTACCATCCTCGTGGGAGGATTCTCCCATGTCCCCGCATGGGGAGCTGGGGCTGATAGAGGGAGCTCATACACGCTCTCCCTAAATTTGAACCTGTGACCTGTTGGTCTTCAGTCCTGCCGGCACAAGGGTTTAACCTACTGCACCACTGGCAGTTTCCCAGCACCAAGTTCTGCCTAGCTCATGGAATAGGCTTCTGTATTGTTTATGGATTCAAGTGCCTAGTTTCATGGATTTCCTTGGACTCTTTGTTCCTGTTTTCCTTTATATCCTTTAGATTTTTTTGCTACTCTGGATTACTTTTGACTTTTTTTTTGTCATGTCAGGAGCGACTTGAGAAACTTGAGTGAGACTTTAAATATGAAAAGAAGCTCAGTAAACAGAAACAGTCCGTCCAGCAATTAAGACGCTGAGCTAGACTTCAACGGATGTTAGATAGCAAACCGAAACGGAGAAAGAATCCATTCCTAGTAGTTTTGGAATCAGGGAAGGGTTTATAAATGACGTGTGAGGGACGATTGCTTTTCCTGAAGCAATGTTGGATTAACGGCAGGTTTTTTTCCCATGTCAGGAGCAACTTGAGAACTGCAAGTTGCTTCTGGTGTGAAGGAATCGGCTGTCTGCAAAGACGTTGCCCAGGGGACGCCCGGATGAATTGATGTTTTTATCATCCTTGTGGGAAGCTTCTCTCATGTTCCCGCATGAGGAGCTGGAGCTGATAGAGGGAGCTCATCCGCCTCTCCCCGGATTCGAACCTGCGACCTGTTGGTCTTCAGTCCTGCTGGCACAGAGGTTTAACCCACTGCGCCACCGAGGGCTCCTTACTTTTGACTGCTTTGGCTACATATATTCTTAAATAAACTGCTTGCTGATTTTACCCAGTTGGTGTGGTGTTTAAAGTCAGAGGTGATTCTGCTCTGGAGTACGACATGCAGAAACTTGAAGCCCTTGGAGTGCGCTTCTATATTTTCTAAAGCTGCCAGTTTTTGAGAGTTTTGTTATGGAAAGGAAGGGGATGGAAGAATGCACAAAGAAGACGCTATTACTAATATTGCCTCTTTATGTTACATTTGTCTGCTAATACTCTAATGAGGCCTCAAATGACCTGCATCTTTCCTTCGCCAAGGTCTGCCATCTGCCACAGAAAAGCATGCAGAGTACAGAGCCTACCGTCGGACTGTGACTCATTAATGGCCATATCGACTAATAATAAAGGAAAACAATCCTTATTCCTTTCCCAAGTCACAGAATGACTACAACCCACTCACACACCAATTGGGTTGAAAGGCAATGATTCTACATAAGATGCTAAAGCTCCCCATGAGACCCACTTTCTTGTTTTTGGAAACTAGCCCCCAGCGACTCTGTTTTACACTCATGAGGATGTAAGAAGAGCCTGCTCCGGTTTGGCAGCCAGAATCCAACCATATACATCTCCACTTTTGCTCTCTTCCCTTGCCTGATGGGGGCTGGCCCACTTCTGCATTTTCTCTGATCTCTTTGGGGGCTTTTTTGACAGTTGCAACAGCAGCTTCGACTCCCAGCTGTTAATTTGGCCGAGCTGGAGGCGCTCTCATGTACTTAAGGAAAGTTCTCATTAAATCGGTAAATAATTGAAAGCAACAAAACCCAAAACTCCTCCTTCCCCTTTGTGGAGGCGTTGCGTGAGCTGTGCTGGAAAACAGGGCAGAACGAAAGGCTGAGAGGAACAGCTTGCAAGGACCCAAATTTGTTCAAACCCACAAGTGAGAAAGTGTACCCAGCTAGTTTTAATCACGAATTTTAAACTCACGTCTTGTGTCCACTGTATTTTAGTCATTGTTCTGTGTATTTTAGTATGTGTATTTTGTAGAAATGTGTTTTAATGTATGCATTCTATATAATGACTATGTGTTTATAGCTGTGTTGTGACCCACCTCGAGCAGTGAAAGCAAGTGCACTGTTCAGTCTTCCTGTTTTTCTTTCTGTTGGAGCTCAGCCTGTGATTGTGTTCCAGGATCAGGGTGCTTTGGATGTGGGGAGTGATGTCAATGAGTTGCAAGATGAGTTTCAAGATGGCAATGGTTTGGTCAGTGATCCTGATGCAGAGAATGACCAGGAGATCCCTGTTCAAGGTGTAGTTTCCCATGAGGATGTCCCTGAAGGGTGTGGGGATGATGGTCTGCTTTCTGAATTGTTACCAGAGAGTTCCCATGATAGAGAACATGAAAACAGCTCGGCACCTGGCCCAGCTGCAGAAATTAATGAGCAAATAGATAATGAGCAAATAGATAGATGAAAGAAGATCAGTCAAAACAGGAGAGCCGAATAGTGGCTTCAGCGTTCTGCCAGGCTCCGAGAGAAAAAGATAATAAATTCTCACTAAAGCGAAACCAATTTCTGAGTGCTAGAGATATAGCTAACAAGGAGATAAAAGTCCCAAGTACAGGATATGTAGTCAGATGAAGCATCGTTTGGAATCAAGTCAAGATCCCGTCTTTGCTTCATGGAAGCTTTGCTTGGAAAATTAATGTTTTAAGTATCTTTGTTTCATGGTTTTGATTCTTGGATTCTATGCTTTTATATTCATGCCTTGGATTCATGTTTCCTGATTTCTTGCATTTTATTTGGGAAGTTTTGACTTAGTTTTTATGGACTTTGCTGGACTTTTACCCTGGACTGTTTAGCTCCTGCTTTTCTTCCTACCTAATTGGATTTACCTATTTCTTTAATTGTTTTTTTTAATTATCTTCAATAAAATGATTGTTTCCCATCCAATGGTGTGGTGTTTAAAGTCAGGGCTTTTCCTGTCCTGGAGTGCTCTTTCTTTCAGCACACATATAGACTGGACACATAGTCTGGGCCCATAACCCTTTCCGTTAGGATTTTGTTTGGGAAAACTCCCAAAAACATATAGCAGAGCATCCAAAATACAAACAGAATACTTATAGTTGAGCAATCAACTCACAATAAGCAAAGCGTAAAGTGCCGTTAGATGTAACTGTAAAGAATTTAGAACTTAGCCAGGCAAAGGTGCAGAATCCAATTTTTAAAATCACAAAAGGTTTATTTACAATGATAAGAACTAACTACATTTCTTTAATAGTTAAAGAACTGGGTCTGAGCTACTTTGTAACAGTAAGACATACAATTTATTATTATTATTATTATTATTATTATTATTATTATTATTATTATTTGAAACACCACAAGTTGAATCCACAGCAGACACTCTGCTGGCTGTTGTATTGGATCACAAGTCGGACACTTCCCAAGTGTCTAGGACTGTGTGATGTATTGGCAAATAATGCGTGCAGATCCCAGTAAGGTGGCCTTCTGCAGCTGGCAGATGGTAATCTTGTCAGCATCGATTGTGTTTAAGTGCAGGCCAAGGTCTTTAGGCACTGCACCCAATGTGCCGATCACCACTGGGACCACCTTTACTGGTTTGTGCCAGAGTCTTTGCAGTTAGATTATTATTATTATTATTATTATTATTATTATTATTATTATTATTATGTTTTTGAAGGTGTTCATGGCTGTAATCACTGGGTTGCTGTGAGTATTTTGGGCTGTGTGGCCATATTCCAGCAGCATTCTCTCCTAATGTTTTGCCTGCATCTGTGGCTGCCATCTTCTGAGGTTCTGTTGGCAAGGAAGCCACTGGATTGTCTATATATCTGTGGAATGTCCAGAGTGGGAGAAAGAGCCCTTATCTGTTCAAAGCAAATGTGAATGTTGCCACTAGCAAGCTTGAATAGCATTGAGATCCCCTCACTGATTGATTTGCAGCTTCGTGGCTACTCAATGCTTCTGGGAGTTGGAGGCCCAAACAGCTGGAGGGCCACAGTTTGAGGGTGCCTGGTATATGGTTTCAAGTATCCACAGAGGTGTCCTCCATGAATACAGGGGTCATAATGTATTTTAGTCATTCTCCATAACATCTATGAGCTTCACAAGACCTCTAATGGTGCCTCATCTCAATGACATAGGAAGAAGAGGAGCCATGTGGACAACCCCCCCCCCCAAACAAAACCTCACTAGCCACCTTCCCAACCCCTTTGCAGGGAGAAGTGCAGCCTCCCAGGCAATACCTTTCTGCCACATTTTTTGCTGTTTGCAGGAACCGCGCATGATCGTTCTCCTTCAGGATATGCTCGGCTTGGTTGATGAGGACGGTGGACCGTTCCAGGCACTGTCGGCAGTTGGCTACCTGCTGGGCCAGCTTCCTCAGTTTCATCACCTTGGAAAAGAAGAGGAGGGAAAAAAAAGCAGAGGATGCTTAACTGGAAACTCATTAGTTGCGCAGGCACGCACTATTTGAACAGAAAGCTGGTGCCACCAAGGAATTGCAACCACATCTAAGGTACCTCTGTAAAAACCACAGGCAAAACAAAGTCTTCATTATGGGGTAGGAGGCTGCAGATTGAACAAATGCGTGGAAGAACAACACCGAGGAGGAGCCAGGGAATTGTCCTTTCCAGGCATATGCCAAGGAGGGGAAGTGTTGTGGCCATTTACGTGATTGCTGTCCTATGTAGAGGGGAGGATAAAGCCTGTTCTGGGGGAATATATGAGGGTTGAATGAAAAGTAATGCCTCCACCTTTGTAACTCCTCAACAGATGGCAGTACTGGTATGTGGCAGGTACTAGCTTGTTCAGTAGACTCTCCTCTACAGCAGTGTTTCTCAACCTGGGGGTCGGGACCCCCGGGGGAGTCGCAAGAGGGTGTCAGAGGGGTCACCAAAGACTATCAGAAAACACTATTTTTGGCTGGTCATGGGGGTTCTGTGTGGGAAGTTTGGCCCATTCTATCGTTGGTGGGCTTCAGAATGCTCTTTGATCATAGGTGAACTATAAATCCCAGCAGCTACAACTCCCAAATGTCAAGGTCTATTTCCCCCAAACTCCACCAGTGTTCACACTTGGCCATTTGAGTATTCATGTCAAAAATCGTATTTACATTACGATTCAAAACAATAGCAAAATGACAGTTATGAAGTAGCAACGAAAATAATTTTATGGTTGGGGGTCACCACAACATAAGGAACTGAATTAAGGGGTCACAGCATTAGGAAGGTTGAGAGCCACTGCTCTACAGTTCCATTTTGGCGGGAAGCCTTAGCATTGAATGGTTGTGTTGTTAAAGTGTGAAGTATGGAACCCTGCACAGACAGTCGTTCAATGCAACTTAAGCAATGTGTAGTCATTGAATTCTTGACAGCAGAAGGTGTCATCCCAAAGGAGATTCGTCAGAGAATTTCTCAGAGAGAAATTTCAAACATAATCAGCATTTCACAAGAACGTGTGGGTTGCATTATTGCTTTGCTAGGCTATCGGAAGATCTGTGCACGAAAACAGAGTGTCGACTTCTTCCGTGATGGCTTCAGAAAACATCATTAGCAGAAATGTATCCAATTGTCTGGTGATTATGTGGAAAATGAATCATGGTAGTTAAAGAGCACATTCTAAGGATTGTTTCTGCATTTGATTTATTAAAATATTCCCATCCAAACCCAAGTAACAAAGGTGGAGGCATTACTTTTCATTCAACCCCCGTAGTTTCAAGGTAGTTTAAGCTCTCCTCCCCTCATCTCCCATTCTACTCACTCATTCTGTTAGAATGCACTTTTTGCACTCAAATCTAAATTTAGATTGGATGCCCAAGGGGCCGTGGGCCTATCGCTTATTTGCTGTCCTGCTTTGTGCTCCTCTACCAATTGTCACCTGTGTTCGCGGTGCTGTGTACACAATGTACAGCAGCGCTCCTTGTGGACCTGCCAGGGCAGGATGTGGTTCATCTATCTTGCTGCCAGACACAAAACAAAACAAGCCCATGAATAGCTAATGACGACTCTCTTAGACAAATTGGAGGAGAGGGAGCTGTGGGAAAGAGAGACGTTATTGTAACAGACAGACTTGTTATTGCAGAGTCATATTTTTGGAATGACCGCCGTCTAGTCCAACAAGGCCAGTGCTTTGAAGCAGGACATCCTATGAGGCATTTATTTATTTATCTATCATGTCAGAAGTGAATTGAGGGCATAGTTATAATGTATTTAAAAATACAAAGTTAAAAACTTGGCATTATACTTGGAGTGCCTCTGGTGTTGCTGCAAGAAGGTCCTCCATTGTGCATGTGGCAGGGCTCAGGCTGCATTGTAGTACATGGTCTGTGGTTTGCTCTGCTCCACACTCGCATGTCTTTGACCCCACTTTGTAGCCTAATTTCTGAAGATTGGCTCTGCACCTCGTGGTGCCAGAATGAACCCTGTTCAGCGCCTTCCAAGTCATCCAGTCTTCTGTGTGCCCAGGAGGGGTTTCTCATCCAGTCTCAACTACAGATTGAAATTCAAGGTTTTAGCCTGCCACTTTTGGACTCTTGCTTGCTGGGGTGTTCCTGCGAGTATCTCTGTAGATCTTAGGAAACTCTTGATTTAAGGTGTTGGTGTGCTGGCTGATAACTGAACAGAAGATGAGTAGGAGATGTCCATTATTGGCTGCTATTTCCCAACTGATGTCAGGTGCTGCAATATTGGCTAAATAGTATTATTTCTCCACTGTTGTTGTGCGTAGACATCCTATGATAATGCCTCATGAAGAGCCACATCCACTGTTTTATCATGGTGAGATGCATTCCACACTGGGCATGCGTATTCAGCAGCGAAGTAGCAAAGCGCAAGGGCAGATGTCTTCACTGTGTCTGGTTGTGATCCCTAGGCTGTACCAGTCAGCCTTGGTATTATTTCTAGCACCCACTTATTGCTCGACAGTCAAGCAGTGCTTCTCGTAAGTCAGAGAATGGTCCAGGGTAACTCCCATGTATTTGGGGGTGCTGCAATGCTCCAGTGGGTTTCCTTCCCAGGTAATCCTCAGAGCTCGAGATGCTTGTCTGTTGTTAAGGTGGAAAGCACATGTCTTTGTTTTAGATGGATTAGGAATCAGATGGTTTTCCCTGTAGTAGGCAATAAGAGCACCTAAAGCTTCAGAGAGCTTCTGTTCAACTATTTCAAATCTCCCTGCTTAGGAGATTTCTGTCCCTTCTGGCAGTGGCTGATCATTTGTGTAAATGTTATACATTGATGGAGCAAGCATGCTCCCTTGAGCATTTGCACAGTTAAAACCTGTGTGCCAGCTGCGCCCGTACCTTGGGAAGTCTGACTTGGCCATGGTAGTCCATGCTCTGGTTACATCCCATATAGACTACTGCAACATGCTCTACGTGGAGCTGCCTTTGAAGACTGTTCGGAAGCTGCAAATGGTCCAGCGGGCGGCAGCCAGATTGCTAATGGGAGCAGCACTCAGGGAGTATACAAATCCTCTGTTGCACCAGCTCCACTGGCTGCCAGTTTCCTACTGGGCACAATTCAAAGTGCTGGCTTTAGCCTATAAAGCCCTAAACAGTTCCAGCCCAGCTTACCTGTATGAATGTATCTGTCAGATTTTACAATGTATTGTAATGTAATATAGCTGAGTCATGCACTGCTAATAGTCTTCTATTGGAAATGCTGAATCATGCATTAACTGCATATAGGGAATCATGTGGGGAATGTTTTCTAGCCTGATCCAGGTGATTGTGAATGATGCAATCCTGGGTTTGAGTTAAGTCAATGAGTTGGGAACCAATCAGTGATTGCTATGTGTAAATGTACAGAATTGTATATAAGGAAGTCATGTACAGTGTATATTTCTCTCTTGTGCTGTGATGCTGTTTGCCGAAGGCTCTGTGTAATTTATTAAAGGAACCTGCCTGCTAAGACAAGATATAAGCGTGTGCTGTGGTAAGTTTGTAGTGTCATCTAGATTGGAGGGGAAAACAATAGTAAAACTGACAATAGCCAGGCATGTGCTCAAGTGCCTGTAAAGAGTTCCAGAGTGACTGCAGTTTGTGGGAGCAGTTGACTGAAATACTATGAAGGAAGAAGCTACTGGAAAGCGCTGAAGTTGTGCAACTGATCTGCTGATGAATTGTGAGATAAAGCACAACAGGATCTCTCCTTATAAGCCATCTAGGACTCTAAGATCGTCTGGGGAGGCCCTGCTCTCGTCCTGCCTCCTTTGCAGGTGCGTCTGACAGGGACGAGAGACATGGCCTCCTCAGTAGTGGCCTCTCGGTTGTGGAACGCCCTTGCTAGGGATATTAGCTCAGACCCCTCCCTCCTGACATTTTGTAAAAAATTCAAAACCTGGCTCTTTGAGGAAGCTGTTGCAAATGCAGCGTAACAGGTAAATACGGAAATGACTTGACGATGCGACTGGAAAGTGAGTTTAGTAAGGAGACGCTGATGACTTATGTTTTCATTGGTTTTGTATGGTTTTTATATTACATGCTAAATGTTTTCAACTGTATTTTATGTCTGTTGGGACATCAAATTGTTGCTGACTATAAACCACCTTGAGTCGCCTTTATTATAATAAAGGCCCTGATTTTATTGTGTAATAGTGTAATGTTTTGTTGTGTTATTGCTTATGTTTTAATTTGCTTGCATTGTTATTGTTTGTTGTTGTTATGTTGAGGCCTTGGCCTTTGTAAGCCGCATCGAGTCCTTCGGACGATGCTAGCGGGATACAAATAAAGTTTAATAATAATAATAATAATAGAAATCAAGAGGTCCTATCATTGCTGCATAAAATTTGCCTCTGTTGCCAGTGCGTTGCGCATCTTAGGGTCACAGTGAATATGATGTCATTCATGCAATTGTTAATTCCACAAATGTTTCTGGTCTCCTATGGCTTTTAAGAAAATGACTGCTGAGTGGAGAATCTAATTTATTTATTTATTTATTTATTTATTTATTTATTTATTATTTAAACTTATATGCCGCCACTCCCCTGGGGCTCGGAGCGGCTTACAAGAATAGCTAAAATCTAACAAAATTTAAAAGCAATTTAAAACAATTTAAAAACAACACTATCAAACATTAAAAGCCTGTCGAAACAGGTATGTCTTACATGCCCTGCGGAAAGCTGGTAAGTCCCGCAGGGCACGAACCTCAGGTGGCAGAGCATTCCAGACTGATGGCGCCACTGCTGTGAAGGCTCTGCGTCTGGTTGCCGTAGACGCAAGGTCTTGACACTGGGGACTTCCAATAGATCTTGGTCCTCAGAACGGAGGGATCTCTGGGGTTGGTAGGGGGTGAGACGATCCCTCAGATACATTGGCCCCAGACCATGCAAGGCCTTAAAGGTGAGTACCATCACTTTGAAAGTGATCCGGTGCTCAATTGGTAACCAATGCAGCTG